CCACAATCCTGTAGTTGCCAGGATTCCCAGGAAAAAGCAAAAATAAATCATGGAGAACACTGTCAGTAAAGACCTCCTAGCGCCCTGACTGTACCAACCCTCCAGACCTGCTCGTTCCATGCCAGCAAAAGGATATCCTGCCACCTCTGGCTCACTAATCGTTTCTTTGCGTCACCCTATGCTGACCCATCTGACCGACAAAAAAGCAAAGAAAGGTTCTAAAAGTTGTACTCGTGACAAAAAATAGCCTTTGAGTTCTGGTAGGCGGGACTTCCATGGAGGCGTCCGAACTATTTAGAAGGCCGCAGCGCCTTTGTTTTCTTGCAAAACCGCGAAAGTGGGACAATATTAGAGATCTAGGACCAGACTCATTATACAAGGTACGACATCTATAAATTATTGCGGGGGACTGTTTTTGAGTACGTAAAGAGATTAAGATATGAAATCAGTGTTACCGCACGCGCTGTATGTAATGCTGTGCAAAACCACGCTGTTTTCTTTCGGCGCCAAAACACAGCACAGCTTCATGACCAGCAACCACTTTATTCATGAAAATACGAAATCTTAAGATGCTTCCGTTGGGTAGTGTGGACAACAGATGGACATTACGACATCAAAGAGAAATGGGTTTCAAAGTTTCAGAGAGCACTTCTGAGCTCGAATAGGGTTACTGAAGGAGCATAGGGCTTCAAAGAAGTCATACGGACAAATATAGAGCTTCTACGACATGCAGGACCAACTTGCACTGCCCTCACGGGCCACACATTGCTGGACGACGTGCTTCCAGCCGAGCACGCAGTTTAGCCAAGCAGCCGGCGATCGATAGTGGGCGTGGCCGGCTGGCTGCCGCCGTCGCGTCCGAGTTCCGGGCGACGTTTGCAGAATTTCCTGGTCATTTGTTTGTTCGGGCTTTATGCGTGTATTTCGGTTTTTAATAGTTTATTTATATCCTAGTTATAACTGGGAATGTCCTAAAGTTGTAAAGTTCAGCCCGTTTCACAGCAGTGACTCATAACGGTCAGTTTGTGTAGGAAGTGATATCGATTGCTTGAATCGTCGGGGTGTTGCGCCATCAGTGGACATCGTTAGCATTAATCATCATTGTCTTTTGGAAAGTTTTCTCTTTTCCAATCGAATCTTCATCTAACCGGTTACTAGCCTTTACGCCGTTCAGAGCTCAAAAATTTACTGCGCGTTCATGCTGCTTCCAGAAAACTTTGAATTTTGGGAGCTCCTCGCTACTC